TGCACGCAATGGCTAGAGCGAGACTTGATTGGCTTGAGGGGCTCTATTTATCAGGAAACTCGATTAAAATACAGACTGCACATGACATCAAATTTGTAATCATTTTTCCACAGCAAGCAAGCATTTTCTGTATTGGATGCAGGTGTTTAAAGCAATAGTGTGTTTTAAGGGCCAGTGCAGCACAAATTCTGGCCTTTGGGATAATGACAAGTGTTTTGCCTGCATAAACAATATTATTTCCGCTACCACCAACCCCCCCACCCCCGAGGTCCACACACACCTAGTTTCCCTCAAGCTCATCATCTCTGTCAGGTTAATCAATAGGCACCGTATGGCAGAGGGTCAGTAATCAGTGTCATCGTGCCTTTAAATCGTGTTGAAAATTTGCTTAAAGCCTGGGCCAATTAACATCGAGATGATGAATGGATGGGTAGATGGGAAGAGCCTGGCGCTCAGGGGCTTTGTGAGAAGGAGATGCTCAGCTGTTGAGCAGCAGACACCAGCGAATAAAATCAGCCATTCATGTGAGCTCAGTCCACCCACTCTTAATGATAATGTCAATCTAGCAAAATATATACACATTGGAGTTGTCATGAGTTCATAAATCAAAGGAGTTTGTCAAAGGCATTCAGATTAACGAGGCAGCAGCAATAACAAGTCAAATTTGCATAGAGAATTGCCCGAATCTCAGTAAATTATGATCCTGTTTTTCATTTGATTATTTGCTAATGTCTCAAGAGGGAGAATGATTATATTAGCATGCAAAATCTACTCCAGAAGTAGAAATCCGAGGTATAGCAGACCAGCACACGATGACAATTAATCAGTTTCTGCATACTAGCATAAACGCGCAAGGCCCAGAAATGAACTCCTTTTTTTATTATTATTTCTCCTTGCTACTGATCCAAATGGTTCAGCTTGACAGAGACTTTATATTGCTTTAACAGTGTTCTGAATTGTGCCTGCAGGCAAGACATAGTTATGCAGCTATAACCAACCTATCCATCTGCCAACCAGATTGGAATTCTCCTATCCAAGGCTTCCATTAACCCCCACTGACAGCTCCAAACAGGATTAAGAATTTGAAAGCATAAAAAATAGTTGTGCTCTTCGCTTAGACACACGCTTCTCCCCACCCCCACCTCCCCACACTTGGAACAAGGCTGCGTCCGTACTCTCTTATAATTAGTACAGGGCAGAACAGCATCAAAGAAAACCTCCCCCAGTTGGCAGGGGTTTGATTTCCACCACAACGAGCGAGGCAGCACTAAAGGTAGCTCTGCCCAATTGGTAGTCCCTGGGAGTGCATTTCTCCGTGTATTATGTCTCGTCCCCAGCAGTGTTTTGCTGGGCTGTGTACGCAAAATACTGCGTGTCATCTCCTGTCAAACGCTTCAGTCTAGGGATTTGGTATGCATCGTAGCATGTTGTGTTTAGTGGTGGAGGAGGCTTCATGGGGAGAGTTAAATAGTAATAATTTCGTAGTGGTCTTTAAGACAACCTGCCATGGAGTTATATTCTGTTAATTACAGGCTGAAGTTTTGAATGAAAATCACATTTAAAAGGGTCTTGTTACAGACAGTAGCCATTTTAGGAAGAATCAGCTGTGGAGGGCAGAGCCCCTTTACAGGAATCTCCTGCTCCAGGGAAATTTTAAAGGTTACAAGAACTGTGACCTTGGGTTTCCTGGCTTCTCTTCCCAGCTCTTCCACTGTCATTGTGTGACCTTGGGCAAATAAATATTTTACTTGTTCGTGGAAAGGGGGGAAACACACAGTATTTATCTCGCTAAGATTGATCTGTTTGTGATTTGGAGGCTTAAGCACTTCACATCTTATCTTGTGCTTGTTCAAAAGGAGGGACCCCTGCATTTGAGCACCAGCACCTTTGGTGAGTCTGGCTCTAGTCTATGAAGGAAGGCTTGCCTGCAGGATTTAAACATTTCCCCTGATGGAAGGGAGTTTGTATGGCTTTTCAGCTCTCTGTATGCACTGGTTTTCTTCACTTCTTTCACCTTAACAAATTCCATCGTTCCTCTACTACATACCAAGTACAGTTGCTGCAGATCTTTAATATTCCCAGTGAGTACACCCATCTTACCGTCTGGATACCAAATGCTTCTTTCCAGGTCTGTGCCCGAGACATGCGTTTCAGTAACCACGAGAGGGTGCTCAGAGCAGTGCCTCCCTTTGTCTTCCTCTCTTGCGGCCGAGAGCATCAGTGAAGTCCTGCTGAAGCAAACCTTATTCTGACCTCGCACATGTTTATCCCTCCTCCCACCTTGTTAAGCAAGGAGGAATATATAGATGTACTGTTTCAGTCAATTACGTTATGCTTTTCCCATGACCATGGCTAAGTGTTGCCCTATCAAGTGAAATTCGCTTCCATGCAGCTAGATACAGTTAGTCCTGAAATATTCAGGGTCTTGTACCTACACCTGGGTTGATAGATTTCCTATTCCTGAGAAAGGAGCGGGAGTTATAAACATCTGTGCTTCTTCTTAAGTGTAATGCTTTCGAGTCATTCTGTCTTCACCAAGCGTAACTTACTTGCCGACAAAAGTGCACAAGCAGTGCTCCTCTTTAATAGTCTGCTATCGGAGCTGCTGTGTTGGTGCTGGAGAATGGTAAGACGCCAAGCTGTGAACCACCATATGCACTTGGCAGTCTTTGTCTGGTCTTTGTTCAGCCAACCTCTTAGCCTTGCCACCTATAAAGATAATGAATGCAAAATGGTCCTCTGCTTGCTCTTAAAATGAGATGCTCAGCTTAAAGGAAAAGAAGGTAACTTGGTGCTTTGCGGTAACTAGAAATTTCAAAATAAGGGCTGACAGTTTGCCAGCAGCACTGATTTTCCTCCTTTTGGATGTTTTTTGAGGGAGGATCCTTAATGGCTTTGAAAGGAGAGAAGAATGCAAGATTTCACTGTTGTAGAAAGATTATTTGGAAGGGGAAGTCATTTTGGCACTTACTGTAGGGAAGGGGGTGGATGTTGGAAAAGCATCTTAAAAACAGTAAACAACCCCCTCACCCCACCAACAAAATGCATTTCCTGGTCATGCGTAGTAACTCACCTCGGATTCTGATGTTTCTCACACTTGGTCTTTTTCTCCAAAGTGCAGAAATTAAAACCCTAGCTTGAATTAATGACTTACTAAACTGTATTTCATGAGCAGAAAAAAGCAGCTTTAACATCTGACCTGCCTTTTTGGAGATATGTGGTTCTAGCTTGTATGTTTTTATGATCAGTCCTTTCTAAGGTGGATTTAATGTAATAGCTTGGTCCAGGCTGAGACCTCATATGAAAACTTTGAAAAGCTGGCCTCTTACAGCGATTTATCAGGCCTGTTTAGGATTGATTTCCATTATAAAGCCCTGGTTACAGCATCCCAGATGTCATGGTGCCTTGCGAGTTCTGTATCTTGCCTAAACCCCCCCCAAATCACAAATCATTAGTTGGTCTGTAAGCCTAGATTTACACAGGATCTTCCTGACCAGTTTATGACATCCCAAGTGTTTTGTGTTTGTTGTCTCTCCCCCCAGTCTGCTATTTCTCAGCAAACAGCTCCTACCCCTGCCCTACCTTTTCTTCCCATTCACCAGCCCAGCATACTAAGCTGCCTAGACAGTGCCTGATCACGCAGCACTGCAGTGGGCACATGAGCACACTGCTCTTCTGATGGCTTCCCGCAGCCTGCTTGCTTTCTGCTAGCCCTGCTCTGCCCTGCTGGCTGTTTGCAGGGCCCAGCTCCTCCTCTGCCAACAGATTCCACTTGTCTCCTGAGGTGCTGGGCTGGAAGTTGGCTCTGTGAGAAGCTATGCTCAGTGAAGGACAGGTTATTTGGGGAATAAGGGAGAGAAATGCAGAATGCAAACTTCTGCCTGAATATCCGCACTCCTGAGCTTGTCTGCAAGTAACTGGAAAACCACCCTTTTCCTGGCAGAGCTCTCCCTAAGCAGTTTTTCTGTACCTCTTTAAAACCTGTTTAGTTGCTCGCTACTGAATGCATGGGAATGTGGCCTAAGGCTATGAATACTGTGGTGATCAAACTGATTTTAGATGTGTGTGTGGGATTCCCCCAAAGCTGGCTGTCATTACTCTGTCAAGGCAGTGGCTGAACCCATGCAAAGGAATGCTGTCTTCCAGAGTAGCTGACATTGGCAGTGAGGACAGGATTCTCCCCACATACCCAGCAGTTTTTAACCTAATATTTGCTACGTACTGTGCATGTCCTGGGATAGCTATAGCCTGCCTTTGGTTTTAATCATGAGTTTAACAGGACAAAAGTCTCCTGATGGTCTTTCTGATGCTGGAAAAGCCCTCCTTTTTCTTCTTGTGCAGCTTCTCTTGCCTCACTGATGCTCTTTTTTTGGAGGCGGCAGCTTCAGTTTTGGAGCATCAATCTTTCTAGAAATTATACAGGTATTTAGAGTCAGAGGGCAGGAGTGAAACCAGCCCTAATAGCATACGCAGCCTACACTGGTTTTTATAAGGATCTCCTGACAACCTCTTTCACCAGCATTTAGCTCTACCATCATTTCTCCACGATTTTTGGCAGCCAAGCAGACTTGGTGCAATTAATAATTGTTAGGCAGATTAAAAGTGTAGGTGCACAGAGAATAACAGTTGCATCCATTAACTACATTTTGTTTTCAACAGGTTCCTCTGTTTTAAGTAGTTATTCCGGGGTGTTCAGGAGCACTGGTGTTGCCATGCTGATCCAACCACCATTCCAGCTTTTCAAAGTGACTATTACTGGTGGTTTCAGAATAAATCCCCAAAGCACAGGCTTCTTCGGTAAAGATCTGCATAGTGGTGCATTGTTGTGTTGAGGAGGAGAAATTCTTTCTCTGCCATAACAAGCTGTTTGGCTTAAACGTACAAGTTAGCCTCCGGTATACATGAAATACAGCCTGTGTAGTACAAATATTCTGTTTCTTTTCTCCTCGCAGAGTGATATTAGGGATAAGAACTGAATTAAAGCTTACTTTCTTTCACAGAATTCCTCTGAGAGAGAAGACTGTAATAATGATGAGCCCCCTAGGAAGATCATTCCTGAGAAGAATTCACTTAGACAGGTATGTGATCAGTCTCTTTAAAAATGCAATAAAACTTTCTAGCTATTTGAATCCTTAAATGCTTCTGGAAGCTGAAGTCTGACTTGCGTACATGGAAATCTTTTCTCCTTTGTAGTCTGAACAACTCACATTGTACTCAGGAAAATCAGACACAGAGATTTAGCTTTCAGGAGAATTTGATGACTCTTTCTAAAGAAATCTAGGCTTCTGTATGGTGCAGTCAACTGTGACTCCCTAGTTTTGCTTTTTTTCCATTTGGTGTTCATCAAGACCTCTTCAACCTTTTCTTCTGTAATTGTTCCTGTCTTGTTTGTAGTATATTTGCCTTGCTTTAGATCAAAAGTCTCAAAGTGTTCTGCAACAATTAAGCTTTTTATTGCCCTTGAAGGTAAATATTCTTGGAGGTGATGTCCAGGTTAATAACCTGAAAAATTACCTGTTCTTGTTTCTTCTACACTCGTATAAATTACTAATGGGTAGAAAAGGGAAAGGGTGGTCTGATAAAACTTAATCTCTTTGCCTTTATATATAATAAAGCAAATTTCTTACCAGTTCAAAGGAATCAGTTTTTCAATCCCTGTGGTCAGCAAAGGGTGTCTGGTTTGTGATTTCTGGGGAACTTAAGTTAGCTTTAGTGATTTCAAATCCTTATTCACATTGTTGTTCCTCCCTACTGCAGCCTTCAGGCAGCAGAAGCAAAAATACATCCATGCTTCAGCTGCCCAAGGTGGCTGCTTGGTGTATCAGAATAAAACCATTGAGGAACGTGACTTAAGTGAATACCCCAGGCCACACATTGCAATAGCTGAGGAATTGGCAGTCTTCCTTCTGCATCTCAGCCATAGGAGCAGCAGTCTCAGGCAGAGGAATAGGGTGGTACCACACTGCCCCACTGCTGCTATTTCCAAGAGAAATTGTGAGTCAGAACTGTAGTAGGAGAAGAAGTAGTATTTTCTTTTTTTTATATAGCATGCTTGTGTTCAGAGCTGAGAGTTGTTTTGTGGGGGGCAGGTTTGGTTGTTTGGATTTTTTGGTTGCTGATTTGGGGTTTCTTTTTTAAATAAATGCTCCATCCCTGGCAGTATTCAAGGCCAGGTTGGACAGAGCCTTGGGTGACATGGTTTAGTTTGAGGTGTCCCTGCCCATGGCAGGGGGGTTGGAACTAGATGATCTTAAGGTCCTTTCCAACCCTAACTATTCTGTGATTCAATGATTCTATAATGTATTGTGCTAGGAGTGTTTGATTTTGTTGGAGTAATTATCATGTGAAGGACTGTATGTGGCTAAGACAGGTCCATCTAAGAGATGTAGTCCATGTAAGGCTTTTAGACGAGGCAGTATGCTAGGATAATGAGTGAGGTCCTAGATCCTGCTGAGAAAGATTACTTGTAGAATTGATTATATACATTATACCAAACTGAAAATGTTTCTGTCATTCAGTAACAAACAAGAAGATCTAGAGGAAGAAGGCAGAGCTCCTAGGTCCCTGCTGTGTATGCCCAGGATAGCCAACAAGGTCCCCAGCACACCAGAATTGTTTTTTCCCTTCTCTTGGAATTACCTGACTGATGACGAGGCTTCAGGTTCAACAAGAAAAGGCGTATGTCTCTTCTCCAATAAAAGGTTCATAGTAAGAGATGTTAAATCAAAAGGAACACGAGTTACCTGTTTTGTGTGCCTTCTCATCACACTGAGTCCTTCCGCATGATTATTAAGGAGGAGACAAATATTCATGGACAGCGTTATACAGACCAAGAAGGTAGAGTTGTATTTCAGTCTCCAGAAGTATTCTTAGTGTCCAGGGAAAACTGGCTTTCCTTCAGGCCTGCAATTCATCATAGCCAAGGTGACTAGATACGAAGAATACACCTAAAAAATTACTTGTACTGTCCAAACATTTCATATTGGAAGTAACTCACATGGACACTGTTTATGTCAAAGGTGGTTAGTTGTGTTTCAGGATATTGTTGAGATGTATCATCCTCCATCTTTCTGTCCAGTCTTTATGATAACAGATGCATGAAAATCCTTTGGTCTTCTGATTGCTATCTGAGGCCTTTTGTGTTAGGAACAGTGCTCATGGACAAGTGCAAAATGTAGTCTTAAAGCAGGAGCCCTCTTGTCTAGGTCATAGGAGGTGGTTGACTGCAGTTTTGTGCCTCTTATAGAACAGATTTTGGTTCCTTAAGTAGACATAATTAAAGCTGTCTGAGTATTTTGGAAACTCAGATTGCTCCTCTATTAGTCATGGACAAGAACCAGTGGGAGTTTTCCAGCTCCAGTTGCAGAAATCAGATTCGGATGCAGCCTTAACAATAATGGTAATAACTAATGGTAATAAAGGTAATAAGGAGATGTAATGGTTACTTAAGTATCTGAGGTTATAAGAAGGGGCTGAAGGACATCCATTGCTAAGTGCTGTGGACCTCTTACAAAATGAAATAGCATTCTTCTATTGATTAAAATGTTTTTCTGGAGAAGGGCATCTTCAGAAGCCTCAACAAGTGGAGCTGTGTCCTTGGCATGCTGGAAGTGGGAGGCATGGCCACTCGTAGGTGTGTGAGAGGCAGCAAGGTGGGAGAGACATCTGGGAAAGGGAAGAGAAAAAGGCAATGAACTTGACACTGTTAGCTGGACCAGTGAAAAGATCTAAGCTATGGCAAGCTTTGAAGTAAGGATGCAAATGTTCAGTTCTTGTTGTTTACTTGACCTGACAAAATTAAATTTTGAGGGGGTAAACTGAAAATCATAGTATGAAAACAGACTTCAGAAAAAACAATGACAAGTGGCAAAAGTTTCTGGCAACTTTATTTAAGCTAACAAACGAATTTTCACACTGCAAAGTTATAAATTAATTTTAATAGGCTGATCCAGATGGTCCATTTGGAAAATGGATAGCTTGATCTGTTGAAAATTAAACTAAATTTATCTCTCTCATACTTCAAACTGAAGTAAGCGTGAGAAGAGTGCCCATTAAGTCCAGCTCATACAGATGGACCGGCAGGTCACACATGGGACTAATCTGATTCATTTTAAAAATAAATGCATGAGTTATTGAATCAGGTTTGTGTTTCAAGCCCTGCATGTGAGAGTGTGTGTGTGTGTGTGTGTGTGTGTGTGCCGCCCTTTCAAAGGGACTCGCAAATGCTTCAGTGCCTTTTTAACCTGTGTGTTTCCATTTTAATTCAACTTCCTTGCCAAAAAACATAATTAGTTTTCAGTGCCTATCATTTAGTGTTAGACCCAAACACTAGATTGATTAGGTCAGACATTTGTTATTTTAAGGGCTATGTCTCCATTCTTCATTTATGAAGAACACGAGCTCAATAGTCTTGGGGAGAGAGCTGGCCTTTAGAAACTGGGAAGGGGAAGCTCTCTGGGGGCCCCTCCAGCCTTTAGCTTCTGGGTGTTTCTAACAGAGCCATGAATGCAGATTTGTAAATTTATTGCAGTGCCATCTGTTTTTTTTGCAGGAACCGTATTATTGTTGGCTCGTATCTGTCTATTGTGGTGGTCACTCCCCAGGAGCTTGCCCTCATAGTCCTAAGGAAAGTGATGAATAGTGGGGGTCAACATGAATAGGTCACAGGGCAGCTGTCCAGGGCTGCCCTGAACTTGATTACCCCGCTGGTTTTTAAAGAAGACGGGCACAATGCAGGTTGTTTAAAACCCTCCCTCCCTTCTCTTTGGTTTAGCAATAATGAAGTGCCTTTTGCTGCCGTGGTTTGTCTATGGGTGAAGGTGCCTTGTGGGGAAGTGCTGGCAGCAGTAAGGCTGCTGCACTGTACCTCCTGCAAACCTCACATTGGACTCTGCTGCCTTTCTATAAGCTTCCAGATGGAAGTCCGGGGGAAAAAATCCCTGTCTGTTATCCCATTCAAACAGGCCCCTTAGCATTTTCAAGAATCTTCCCACTTACCATTTTGGCACAGAGTATTATCTCAATCCAGTCTTACAGATTTTAGATACTTTTGTAAAATTACAAGTAACACCTAAAACATGCTCTAGGTGCTATTTCAGAGTTAAAACAGTCTGATCTTAATATTTTAAAGCAAAGATTCAAGCAAACCATAAGAAACAGAAAGCAGTTATAGAAGGTAGAGCAAAGGAAGGACAAAAAGTAGCAACCATCAACCATTTACTTCCAGCTGGTAGCCTTGTCCCACTGCATAATTCTCCTCTCCAGAAGTATTTCTGCTATGAAAAGTTAAAGCTCTGTTTTTGGCTGGTGAGGAAGTTGTATGATGAGGAGGGAGTGAGGGTCCTTCAGCTCCCTTCCACCTTCCCTCTGGGGAAGATGCTGCAGTTTGAATTTGCCTTTAGTTGGAGAGCTGGCCAAGGCAGGATGTACCATGTCTGTGAAGTTATCCCAGTTACTTCACCTTTAACATAATTGTTGGCTTGCTAGTAAGGAGTTGCTGGTTGAAAACCCTCCTGAAATTGCTTGAAGTACATCCTTAGGCTTACTTTTAAGATTATTCTTTCAGTTTAATCATTTTCTCCCTTATTCTCTAACAACAAGAAAAAAATAATTTCCATTCCTCTGTGACACTTAATGCATGTTAAAAAGCTAGCCAAGGCAGGTTGCGCCGGAGTCTAAGCTACAATGGGAATGCTGCCTCGTGGCGGAAAGGCCACTGGGCTCTTTCAGCACTAGTGCTAATAGGAATCTGTCACCCCGCCGCATTGCTGCATTCCTCTGTAATTGAGTAAATTGCAAGTGTTGTCTGCCCCCCTCCCTTTGTGTCCATGTCCACTTACCATCCCAAGAACGTGGGCAGTGATAAATAAAGCGCTGAACAGGGCTCTCAACTCTTTGAAAGCAGCGTGTTGCCAGCCCCCTAGTTATATTTCTTTAAGTGTTTATGTTTTTCTGTATTCTTTCTCTTGTGTGGCTGGAACCCTGGGGATCCAAAGCCATGAGAGAGGCCAAGAAGCTAACAAAAGTAGCTGTCCCCTTGTTAGCTTGTTCCTTTCTTCTTTAAAAAACAAGATGAAAA